GTCCTAGATGTCCTGGGCAGGGCGATACATCCAGTTCCTCCTGGGGGATCCTGGGGCATTTTCAGGCCAGAAGAAATAAACATTCTCTCTAGTGGGTTGTGGGAATACCCTGGGATCTCCTCCTGTTGAGCGTGCCGGGAAACCCTCCAAAGGGAGGTGCTTAGGAGGTATCGTGACCAGATGCCAGAACTACCTCAGCTGGCTTCTTTCAACATGGTCGAGCAGCAGTCCTAAACCAAGATGCTTCCAGATGTCCATGCTCCTCACTCATATATCGAAGGCTGAAATATGAGTGAGTTTGGCCTTTTAAACTCATTTAAAAAGCCAAACTCATTTTGGCTACTCACAACTTTTATTTTTAACGATGACTAAAAGTCATAAATTCAACAACATAAAATTTAATCCAGGAAGTGAGTCAACATACACTGTTTAGCTTTCTCTTTATAAAAAAAAAAGTTTTACATATTTATTACTTATTTAGTTTAATTCATTTATTTTGCTTAAAGAAATACTAATGTCAAAATCACAGCCTAAAAGGAAATAAATCAGAGCATTAATTTTGTTGTTTTTGGGGTCATCCCAGCACTTTGATGGATGTACGGAAATCTGAAGGTGGGGAGAGAAGTGGTGAGAGTCCACATTCAGTACAGAGCAGGCATCAATTAAAAAAGACAAACATGGGAAGAAGGAGATATAATGGAGCTGGGTTGCAAAGCAGCTTGCACAGGTGCAGGGACTATAAATATGAGAGTAGGCCTGGGCTTGACTTTCTACTATATAGAGGTAATAAAAAAAACACATAGGCAAATTTAAATTAAGTGGGGTTGCAGTTATTATCTTTACTATTTAATATGTTATTACATTTCTTTATTAATAAGTCATGTATTAATTGGTCTATCAAATGTTAGTAAATACCATGTTTACTCAGAACTTCATAACATCATCAGATGTCTTGTAAATCTACAATAGTATATGTATTACAATGTATAGTATTAACCCTTTAAAACTGGTCGGAGAGGGCACGCTCCGTTTTGCGTAACTATTTTTAAATCCCTGTAGAACCAGAACCATGCAAGCTAGCACAATAATTGTTTTGCACATGAAACCGGAGTAGTTGTACTTACATCTTATGTCATCATCTTGTTGTTCCACATATGGCTTTGCAAAAACAGCATAAAAAGCACTTGCAGCAACAAAAATACAAACAGCAGCAACAAAAATATAATATTCCAGAAACACGCTTTGCCGATCTGATCAACTGTTCATAACACTTCCTTTGTTGGGATAGACGTCAGCGCGAACTATCGCGTGTCCACCATTACCTGGCCGAAACCGGAAGTGACGTCTTTTTCGCGGAAAATGTAGTTTTTTTACCTTAGGGACCTTATAAGCCTGTACTGGTGATTTTAAAAGTCATGTCTGACTTCATGCTTTTTTGAATAGTTTCTGGGATGCTTAGAACTCAAATTGCACTGCTGTAAATAGTTTATTTTTGTTTATTTTATTTTGCAAATTTGCATTATAATATTTATTTTTGTTTTTCCAGCACTATATAATATTTTGTGTATTTCAAAAATAAAACTATGAAGACACTCAAAATTAATTTCCTGTTGTTAGAAACTACTTTGTGCAACTTTTTTGTATTTATAGTTTTGAGGGACAAACCTCTTAAATTTCTCTAACTAGAAATATATGTAAAAAAAAAAAAAAACCAACCCAAATACGATTTTACATCTTTTGTAGTTATTGCACTTTTTTGCAATTTATGTAGTTATTATAGACTTAATGCATACATATTATTAAAATTTGGGCTATAACGGTTTTATTGATGTATAGCAACTTGAAATGCTCCCAAAAATGGCACTACAGCATGTAAAAATATAAAGATAACTCTGGCGGACTTGTTTCTATGGTAGGTCTTAAAGGGTTAACCACCAATAGGCCCAACTATTGACATCAGTATTAGTGTACATTCAGAATTGGTATGGTTATTCAATTCCATTAACTCTGTGACTAGTCCTTAAACCTCCTAGTCTAGAGAATTCTTGTGGTACTTTTTTACAGCTTGTTTCTAACTTCTAGACCTTGTGATCGAATTACTTTTGGCAGTTGATATTTTATGCTGATCTCTTGAAACAGGTAACAGTTTAAACAAGGTGGCTGTCAAGCAGAGGGAGCCCAGAATGACTGTATTTATAAAGTCAATTGCAAGGTTAAGCATCCACTTTACATAGTAATCTGAGCAAATGAAATGCCTGTCTGTAAACACATTTTTTGGCATATCTGCCAACCTGCCATGTACTTGTGATATGACAAGGATTTCTTTCTCACATTCGTTATGCAATCATTGCATCGTCATATAAATATGTTTTTTCTTTCTTGCTCAGTTGCTGATGTTTAACAGAAATCCAGCGGAATATTTTACCGTCATCTCATCTTTACTTTTCTCTGTAGGTATCACACCCTGACCAGTCACCCTGATTCTTTGTATTGCAGACTGGATGTTTACCAGGCCTTTTGTTTTCCTTTTTTTAAATGTTGGCGTTCCTCAGCTGCTTCCGCCACCAGTGTCTGTAACACAATCACTAATATATCAATCCTTTCACACATTCAAAGGCAGAACCATTCAGAGCTCTCTGATTACATGGCTGTGTCAAGGGGGTGAGACATTTGATATCACTGGGCACTGGTCTGGGTGGTGGTAGGCAGGGCAAGATATGGGTCAGCTTTGGTGTGACTACCTACTCCATGTTCACCCCGTTACCACTCCATATTCACGTTGCTTGAATGTATATTTCCGTTGCATATCCATAAAGCTGTGCTTTAAAACACTGAGAGTTACTCACAATGGATTAGTCTGTGGTTATGCAGGGGAGGTGTATGCATCTGCTGTGTACTGAACTGTTAATGCAGTACTATGGAGTGCATGTGCATAGTACCTCACTGTTAAAGACATAACCTCAAACTGCTCTAGATCTCAGCAGCCTACAGTACTTCTATTTGTGCAGTGCCTTGTGTATAATGTGAGCTGTGAGCCAAATGTAAATGTCTCAAAGGGAGCAAGTGAGTCAGCTGAATAAAACTGAGACAGATGTGAAGCCTCATATTGTGACTGTGGGAAAACGGCAACACCAAACACAACTGGTCACTCGGGGTTGATTTAACTGGGTTTCATTAATTCCCATGACTATTTTATGTTGGCAGTACATTCTTACTTATTATTTGCTTAATTTAGCCTAATGTTTTCTGTTTTGCGTCCTTCTTGTTTATACTGCAGCGAAGCCTTATAAAAACCAAGGGGTATTATTAGCTCAATAAATCAAAAATATGAGTTAATCAAAGCAAAGCCTGCGCATGACAAAAGGATTTTCGGATTAGCGTATTCTGGTATTTCCTTCTCTGTCTGGCCTGGCAAAGCAATGTAGGCACACCAAAATTATAGACAGCACAGACTCAGTCTTTGGAGGAGTTAGTGGATTTTAAATGGCAGCTCTTCCCCTGCCCCGTCCCCTCCTGCACTGCCCAGAATAATATAATTACAGACCAACAACCGGCATGTTTACATGGAAGAGAAGCACCTGTTTTCCATCATGTTGAGACCAGTCCAATCACTAGCATTTATTTTTGACATTTTCAGGATGATTCAGCTGTCTGCTCTTTGTGGATGTGTGCTACTGGGGTTTTCAAATTATGAAACTGATCTAAAGACTTGAAATCATTTAATTCATGGAGCACCAGCAGTAATGACCTGTGAAGATATCTTAACAGTCACTTAACTGGTAAGATGCTAATTTCTATCTGGAAATTTAATTTTAACATAATGGTAACAGTCCCACTGAGACTCACAGTGAGCTGTTTTTTGCATCAGTCTGGTATTTTCTGGTACAGAGCTCTAGATTTCCCTGTTTCCCTGCCAACGTCAGCTAGGTGAGAAGTGGGGAAATAGCTGTTTCAAATATATAATTACTTTACCTGACTTACTGTAATAAATAGCTTAACTAACTTATCTAGGTCACACTACACCAAAGACAAATAATTCTACCGTAATACCATTTTACGTATTAAATGTTATTACCATCACTCAGATATATACTTTTATTGGCCACATTTTTAATTATGACATAAAAAGCCAAGCAGTCAGTGACCAAACCTTCAGACTTTTTTTCAGTTTAACAATTTTTTGTCTCATAGGCAGCATGCTCATTGTCTAGTGATCATGATTTACAAAAAAAAGAGTTTTTGTTATTCAATACGATCCAAAATAATTTAGTGAGCTCATAAACTCACCAGAACAGTGTAGGCTTAAGTATTTTTTTCTAACCACAGCTATCGACATCTAGTGACATTCAAGTAAAATTCATGTAGCTCCATTTTTCCACAGCAAAAGCTACGTGCATGTTTTATAATGTCAATTACATTACTACCACCTGAATATACTTTTGCATAAATAATAATGTACAAGCCAACCAGCTCATAGCTGCAAACGGTCAAAGCAGCTACCCTGCCTTTGTACAAGGCAGTACAATCTGTAAGCAAACACCTCCAACATCTTTTTGTGGTACTCATTGTTATATAAAGCTTTTCTACTCTGAGCACTCAAAACACTTTATAATCAGTAATAGCAAACTTTAGACTTGCTCATAGGTGGATTTTGTTATGATTTTACAGAACATTGTTTAATTTGGACCACTTCCTGTAATTATGCTAAGCTACCTAGCTTAAAAAAAACCTCAACATTTTTTAAAAAGGAAAAAATTAAAATTAGATTCTCTGATTCACATTTTGTTTTCAGATTTGTCTGTGGACTTTTAGTTTACTGTGTGTAATTTGTGGTTATATATGACTGTGTTTCTTTGGATGTGTATCCATCAGCATATGGTGATTATGTACTATATAACCTTACATGTGCTTGGTCACATGTAAGGTTTGTCACTTGGTCACTTGGTTACAAACTATCCATCATATCTGACTGCTAACCTCCTACCCTGTTCATTCTCCAGCAGGTTATGCCACCCCAAAGGCTTCCTGGATCCCCAGCAGTGAAAGAGAAGGGCTGATCCCGTCCTCCTCCAGGTTCCTGCCGTGCAGCCCTTCTTTCCCTCTTTCTCTCTCCTGCTTATTCCCCTCTCCCAAAGATACAAACCCTACCTGACCCCAACACCTAAACACTTTGACCTTTGTCACCCACTTCTTGGACCACTCTTGTTGGTCCAGTCACGTCCACCGCATCATCTTCCTCACAGCAATTCCATAGCCAGTCTCCCCTCATTCCAGCCACACTAGTCCACTTCCCTGCGGGACCCTGCACGTTTTAGAGGTCTGCTCTACCCTCTGGCTGCTTGCCGGGCCCCATGGCTACAGGAGGTCATGCCCCTGACATAGATGTGTTAATAAACCTACAGCAGGTAAGAAGTATTGTTTTCTTAAACTGAACCTGTTATTATAAAAATAAGAATAACGATAGTTAGCATAATAATATAATAATGGATTGCACAGGAGGGGTTAATGAATGTCATTACAGTAGATGTCTATTTGAAACTTCAAGGATGCAGTTAATTTTCTTTCATCTTTTTCAATGCCATGTGCCAACACAGTGCAGAGCAGCTACCTGAACTCTACTCCCACAGAGGTCGGTTATCTTGTTAACAGTCTTACATCCTCACTGCGTATGACCTTGGATACTTTGGCTCTGAAAAATAAAGCCTTAAATCAGAAGTGCTTGAGTTTTGGTGTTAACTTCAATACATACGTTCTACAAACCATCAACGTGTCTATTAAATGGACTGATTTCTATAAAGCACTTTTCTATTGTCCTGGAGCTCCGAAGCACTTTATACAACCGCATTAACCCATTCATACGCTTTAGTGCTTTCTATCTAACATTCATATTCTGACGCAGAGCAGGGCGATATGACCAGAAATATTTATCACAATATACATTTAAAAATTTGCGATAACGATATAACTGACGATATAATTGACACTAGACCAAATACTTTACAACTCCACAACTTTATTAGTGCAAAAAAACAAACAAATCATCAATGTATTTTCACTTAAACAAGCAGCTGTTTTTTATGTGCATTAAAGTTATATAAAAATTTAATAGTGCAAATGCAAATTCCTTGCTGACAGTTTAACCAAAAGGCATTTGCAGTGGGAATTGGCTGACATATCCTCAGCATAACCATGTATAATATCCACAAAACTTAAAAAGAGGTTATACACACACAATACGGTAATATTATGTTGAAGCACAGTACGTATCACTCCGCGAGGCTCCTGACTACAATACCCTTAATGCTCCGACAATCCATCAAGCGGAGCGGCTTCGTAGCTTAGCAAAGCCCAGCCCTATTCTGACGCATGCATTGGAGAGCAACTTGGGGTTAATATCTTGCCAAATGGAGACTGGAACTGCCCAGGATCCAACCACCAGCCTTCTGTTTATGCACATGGCGGAAAAAGCATGGCGGCGACGGAGAATGAGAAGGGCAAAAGCGGATCGTTGAATGAAACGGATGAAGCAGAATTGGTTTGTAAAAATGCTGCAACTTCATTGGTGTGGAACTGGTTTAGACTTCGTCCGTCAGATACACAACAAAGCACTATTTTTGGTAGAGCATGCTAGAGGGCCGTCGTTTTTTCCGTGTTTTTTGGAAAATACGGCACACTTAAATTCAATCCTTTGATTTTTCTGAAAGTCGACAGTGCCCCTTATAATCCCGTGTGCCTTATGTATGAATTCTGGTTGTGCTTACTGACCTCAAAACGATTTTCTGTGGTACACGGCGCTCGAAAATCTGTCAAATGTTTTAGTACGACTTTGCTAAGCTATGAACCTGCACTGCTTAATGGGTTGTCGGAGCATTACGGCTACCGTAGTCAGGAGCCTCGCGGAGTGATACGTACTGTGCTTCAACATAATTTTACCGTATTGTGTGTGTATAACCTCTTTTTAAGTTTTGTGGATATTATACATGGTTATGCTGAGGATATGTCGGCCAATTCCCACTGCAAATGCCTTTTGGTTAAACTGTCAGCAAGGAATTTGCATTTGCACTGTTAAATTTTTATATAACTTTAATGGAGATAAAAAAACAGCTGCTTGTTTAAGTGAAAATACATTGATGGGGTTTTTTTGCACTAATGAAGTTTTGGAGTTGTAAAGTATTTTGTCTAGTGTCAATTATATCGTCAGTTATATCGTTATCGCAAATTTTTAAATGTATATCTTGATAAATATTTTTGGTCATATCGCCCTGCTCTAATTATGAGACATATTGTACATTTTCATTGCAATGCATCTGATAACCAGCTTCATCTATCCACATGAATGTCTTAAATACATAAAGGCCTGCTTCTAAATTCAGATAGAATTGAGGTCAGTCCTTAAAGAAACATGGTGTCTAACCAGCTAGTTACTCTATTACTCTGGATAAGTAATAGAGTAAGTAATCTGAATAAGAAAAGTGTTGTGTAGCAGATGTTATTATAGCAGCTTGTACAATAGAGTCGTGTTCCTTTAAAGCTACAGGACGTCTCCAGAAACTTCAGTGCTGTTAGCGAGTGCGGCTTGAGATCAGAAAGCTAAGTGAGAAAACAAGCCTACATGATTGTTTGACAGATAGCCATGAAATGATTTGTTTGAGTTGGTGTTAAGTCAGTTCTTAGCTGCAACATCTCCAGCACTCAGTTCACACTTTCACACCAGTTAGCTGCCAGAACACTTGTTTCGACCAGAGAGCAATGCCTGCAGATATTTCCATATCCATAAGGGTGTACAATAGGCAATAAAACATAATATTTGTTGTTGTTTTGAATATTTTCTACTTGGATCTGTTAATTCAGTCGGAAGCATTTGGACATTACTGTTCTGTCATCCTCAGGCTAACGCTGCCCTTTGACGCACCATGTGTACTGAAAACAAAGGGCTTGTTTCCAATATTTCCAAAACCATTGTTTATATTTTTGCCATATGGCAGCAAGCAATAACATTTTAAATTAACATAAGCTCGGCCGCATGCACCAATGTTACAGGACTAGCTGACAGTCCATTGATAAACTAACTGCTATTGTTCGTTCTAGCCAGCCAGAAACATGCCAGCACAAGACCCATTGTACTCAGGAGACATATTTGCACCATCTGCTCTTTTAGTGGTCTACAATTACTTTTGGTGGAGTAGTTTATAGTTTGGCAGAGGAAATTAGGTGGATTGTGCAAAACTGATAATAAGCTCAGTTGCCTTCTCTGTTTAAATTCTTAAAACTGTTCAATCCAAGGTCATAAATGGATAATGAGCAGACCATATTTGCATATCAGAGTTCATTGAAGTTGAGCAAATTGCAGAGATTCAATTAATGAGTTGACTTTTGTCATAAAATCCTGCTGTTTAGACTCTGGTGTGGCTCGGTGTACATCCTTGCTCATATTTTGAGCAATAGCATTTCCTTACACAATAGCAAGATGATTATCTTGAGTGAAAAGAGCACTGAAATGTCTTGAAGACTAAATTGTTACTTCCAATTTCTCCAAGCAGTGATGAGTCACCCTGGGGTCTGTGGAAAATGCTCCATGTCCAGCTTTGCACAATGCTTTGTAGCTTTGCTTCAAGCGAAACAGAATAGCCGGTGATCTCAGGGAAAAACAGTTCTATCATCTAAGTAGGTGATGTGTCATTATGCACAGCGGGAACTGTGTCCTCCAAAGTGCATGTAACATATTGTAGTTTGGTGGAAATAACAGGCTCAACGATTGGCTGAAAAAAGTAGACTCTTTTCTACCTTCAATCACTTGTCAGCTCTGTGTTCATATACACAGACGGAGCCTCTGCAGTGAGACGGAGCGGCTTCTCTGCACAGGTTTTAGTCTCCTACAGTCTGATTGATTCTGCTAGTCGAGACTTTGTTTTTGTGGTTTAGTGTGAGGGCATGTGTGTATGAATCATATGAAAGCAAAGCCCAATGGTCCCCGTTGCCACAGAGACCACTGGTGTTGCTCTCTAACGTGAATGGTAAATGGACTGTTATTTATACCAAGCTTTTCTACGCTTAGTGAGCACTCAAGGCGCTTTTTACTGTAAGCCACATTCACCCATTCACACATACATTTATACAGTATTTTATTCTATACCTTTAAACACTTCTAACCACCACATACACACTCACTCTCTAATGGAGGCAGGTGTGGTTTAGGGTTACTGGGGGACACTTTGACATGTTCACTGGAGGTGTGAACTGGCTGAAACAACACAGCATAGGTCCTGGTTTAGTCACGTATTTTTGTTTCTTGCAATTTAAGGCAAATCAATCAAAGTGTATTTCTATAGCACATATTAATAACAACTGAGTTGACCAAAGTGCTTCACAGTCAGACAGAGCATGAGACAATGAGAGCGAAACAGTTAAGAAGGAACAGGGCAAGAAACAATAAAGGTGACAACACAACAAGCCAGATAATAGCCAACGAATATGAGCAGGGAGGTTATTCCAGAGTCTAGGTGCTACGGTTGCAAAGACCTGATCACCTCTGGACTGCATGTTGATGGGGCAATGCACATTGCTGCTAACAGCACTGATCATCATTTGGTGGTAATGTGGGATGCTGCACTCCTGTAATTTATTGTATTTCTTATATTTGCATTGCACCTTTTGCTTATGTATCTAAGTGTTTTTTCTCAACGCTAACAGTGATGTTTCATATGTGGTGCAGCATGGAAGAACCTGGTTAAATTCTATCATTTTAATTTGCCACATTTTTGAAACTTCTACATAAAAAAACCAAACCATGATGACTTGTTGCAGACATTTTCTTTTTGTCCTTAGATTTACATTGTACTCTTTGACAGCCCCAGGAAAACAAGTATCCAGCTTTGGTAATCAGTTGCATTGCATTTAAATGTTAAATTGACAAATCAGTGGTATCTCTTTATTTGCTTGGTCTTCAGTTATTTGAAGTTCTTATTTTAAGTGCTTACTACATAAAAGGATCACTGGCTTGGTTGCAGTGCTGTCAGTTTGTCCTCTCTGTAGTAAACTTTAATTGAAGGTTTCACCAAAAGGGTTCCAAGTACACCTTCAACCTAAAACTGATATTGTGTGGCACCGTATTGTTCAAAAGTTTCAATTCTATACTGCAGCGCAGGCATATGTATAAGATAACGCAACATATGTTGAATATTTCTATTTGATAGCATGTTGCAGTTATAAATGGGCTAATTTACTGAAGACAAAGGCTGCTGTTTTCTACAGGGACTCTATAGAAGTTAACAGAAGTAATTAGGCTCATAAGGCTTATGGGTGCATGCAATAATCGAACCATATTTGAGGAGAGCTCACCATCCCTCATTTTATTTCAAAACATCATATTTATGCAAACTGTTCAGTTTGAAATAATTGCTCATAAACATCAGCTGTGCAGTGAGAAGAAAAGCAAAACACTGATGCTGATATTTATGTTAGTTGTGATTTGTTTTTCTGGGAAGCGTGCCAGCTCCTTAAATCAAAGAGGCCCGGCTTAAAGCGACAGGGAAGCCGCTTTAAACACGGCACGCCAAATAAAAGGAGGAGGAAGCAACAGAAAGAGGAGCACTCTGCGAGGAAACACAAAGAGAAGAATTTTAAAGAGCTAAATATTTTTATCCACCTGTGTTTTAATTAGTAAAAGGTTCATTTTATATTTTAAATTTAGTGTCCAATGGTGTTTTCACAGCTTTTATAAGCCAAAACCAAAGTTTATTCAAAGTCTGTTTCTTTGATGGTTGCTTCAGTAGCTGATGTGTACTCATTCGTCTCACATTTGCTAATTTATTCAACTCAGCTGTATTTTCTTACACGTAAAACACATATTTTGATGCAACTAATGTGACGTCCTTTTTTATTTTATTTTAAAAAAATGTTACAAATACAACCTGTGAACCTGCTGCTCTCTATGACTTCATTAGATAATACATGTACAATGGTAGGACGCTAATTTAATATGAAGGTTCATCATGGTTAACTTAGTTTTCATTACTGTGAGAAGAAACAAGGAAGATCTAATTTAACGTGCATTAAAGACACAGAAAGTTCCCATCATGCATGCTGTTTTTCCTCGTATAGTTGTGACAGTCAAACAGTGCATGCTGCGATCTCTGTTTGCATTTAAAAACTTAAATAATTTACTTGAATGAACTATTGCACTATATTACCTCAAACATAGAAGTACTTGTGTACTTTGGATGAAGAGTTTGGTCATTCAACAAGGGTACAGCTGTTAAAAGGGGACAGTTAAGATAGTTCTTAGGAGTGAAAGAAGCTTCTATGTCCACTGTGAGCGACCATCTTTGAACAGAGGCGGTGGCTTACGACACCAACTGTGTGCCATCTATAATTCAGTTTTGAGATCCCTTCGCAGACACCTTAATGCCCACTCACATCCTGGGCCATATGACCTCAGTGAATCTAGGCTTCACAATGGGTTCACCCGAAACCTTGGCTGATTGTGACCCACACCTGTTTTCACACCTTGGCTCGTGTGATTAGGTAGAGGATCAATAGGGGGTCCACGACCCTCTTGGGGACACTCCCATAGGGCTTAAAATCTGGGACTCTCCACTAATTGTTCTTAGAACTGAAGATGAGAGGTGAAACGTCTTCAAGCAACTTAAAGAAGTTCAGACACTTTTTTTTTCGCAGCTCCTTAGACTACGATGACCTGGATGACTGAGAACCTTCACAGACACATGTAACATAATCCAAATTTCTTTACAGTAGCTTATCATTTATAACTGACCTCACAGTATTCCTGATTCACCTTGTAACTTCATAACTGAAATGCGCGTACAGAACCCCGATGGCTTTCACTTAGTGTTTCCTGATCACTAACACGAGTACACTTAATCCTCACACAAAGCAAACACAGCCCCACATACGCCCTCCTGAACAGTAGTCAGCCGCTGATAAATATTTAAATGCATCTCTGGCTCACCATACCACAAATTATGAAAAATTAATATTGTAGTAGATGTCGGGCGGTTAGAGTAAAGGTTAGAGAGGATCTCAGCTGTGTTGATTGAACTTTTTTAATTTAAGCTTTTTTACATTTTAATTGGTTCAAAGTGGCCAAACCAGCCACAGAGATTTTGAATTTTCATGAAATATTACATCTACAGACAGTAGATTGTAACCCACAGTGATGGCACTCATAGCAAACAGGGCAAATATACCTTCCTGATTTTTTGGGGGTTTTTTTGTGTAATAGATCTGATTTCCATTTGGGCATAGAGTACTTAAAGCATACAATATTTCAAATCACTGTAAGCCATTGTGTGTGATTCTATTCCTGTACGTATCACGCTGCCACCACCTGGGCTGGGGTGGCCCACCTCCTGTGTCCTTCCACCTCATCTGACTTCAAAGCTAACATGAAAGAGTTAGGCCTCTTGTCTGTAGTAAACTCTCCCTAGAATATTGTTCCCTGTTGCAATATGTCGGGACTATTAAATTCAGGGTCTTACTCTGACGAATAGCCCTCACCAGAGCAGGTGAAGGAAATGAGGAAGTGAATGGGGAAATTGACTCATTGGAACACAGAGCACATTAAACCATGAACAAAATTGAGCTGGACATGCAGTAAAAACAAGGCGTTCACTGCTCACTCACTTTAAAAAAAAAACCAAAAACCTTTCTTTTATTCTGCCTAGCTACATCTGCCTCAGCCTTGTGTAGATAGGTAGCTTGGATCATTAAATGCATCATGTCCCTTCATCCTGCTGGTAATTAGGAAGTAATGGAGCCCTGGCACAGCAATCTGAGACCACTGAACGGTAGCCAAAGTACGCACTGTGCCAGCACCAATCTGAGGCAGAGGAAGCAGCATGTGCCAGTGATTCTGACCTATCACAAGCACCAAATAGCTGAGGCAGGACACTCCCATCAGTCTTCACTGTCTCCAGGGGCTCTCTAGTGCATTAGTTCTTTGCTGCTTAGCACTTTGTTGTATTGATTTGATGTCCTCTGTGCATGTAACAGAGAATATACAGTTGCTGTGTTCCTATTCTGATGATGCAGAATTATTTTAAAATACAATCACATGTTTTGTTTTGCTTTTTAACAGCAAAAATAAATCTTTGGCTTGAGTGCAAATCATGTCTGGAAATAGAAACAGCAGACCTACTTTCCATATAAAATAGTAGCAAAAATAATTATTTGTTTTGCATTCATCCCAGATTAGCATTACACTTTCATTTAGCATGAATGTTCCTCTCGTGTGGCTGCTAGCATATACAATATAGTAATCAGGGTAACACATTTCATGTATCACGTAGAGATTTTATAGCAAACTGGAAAAACTTCTTGTTAAAGCTGAGGTTCAATGACAGGGGGCAAGAGTGGCCTTTGGATATATGAGTTACGGTTATTGCCATGCAGTTAATCATCCTTTTTTGTCTTTACTGAAAGTATTTGTACTGTCGTCCAGGTAAGGGTGGAAGAGGAAGATGAGGATGGATGCGTGGAGGACCAGGAGGAAGAAGAGGAGGAAGAGAGCTGGGAGAAAGCTCTGTCCGTGGAGCGCTTTGCAGACATCATCAGTGACTCTGCTTCTACCAGTGGAGACAGGATGGGGCGACACTACACTGAGAAAGACTTTGAGTGTAAGCAAAGCTGCCGTGCACACATGACAGTATAGCTTCACTTGCACAAACAAAAGAAGCCACTGGGACAAGACTGCAGTCAAATGTCGAATTTGATATTTTGGATTTGTTTTTATATTACTGACCAAAACTCATTTTCATTAGCATTTCTATATTTATTTTATTTTGGTTTAGGGCTACTCATCAGATCAGGCAACATTTTTCAAATCTTCTGTTGTTCATTTTCGGTGACCTTTGCAAATTGTAGCTTCAGTTCACTGTTCTCAGCTCACAGGACTGACACCTGGTGTTGTCTTCTGCTGCTGTAGCCCATCTGCAATGTGTTGTTCATTCAGAGATGCTCTTCTGCATCCTTTGGTTATAACAAGTGGCTTTTGTTGAGTTTCTGTTGTCTTCCTATCAGCAAGAATCAACAAGACCCTTTCACCCAGAGAGCTGATGCTGTAAACCCCAGAGATGGTTGTGTGGGAAAATCCCAGCAGATCAGCAGTTACTGAAATACTGAGACTAGACCGTCTGGCACCAGCAGCCATGACAGTACTCCTGTCATGTGGTATCCATCAGCTTTATCTGCAGTGCACTCTGTACACTGCGTATGAATTTCTACCACGTATCTTAGAATTGAGCACTGCACAGTTATTTGAACTATTTACTAGATTTTGTGAACAAAGTAAGCAAGCAAGTAAAATGTATTTATATAGAGCTTTTCAAGACAAGGAAACAATCACAAAATTTTTACAGAGGAAAAGCTGCAACTCTGTCCAAACAAATTACAGGATGTATCCGTAAGAATTTCAAAAGGTGGACATAGAAGTAATGGACATAGAAGCTTATTGTAAATCTTAAAATACATGACTGAATATGAAATTTTACAAACACAATTTAAAAGTGCCTATTTAATGTGTCCCCCTCTGGACGTACAGCATGTGTCCATATAATAGATACATTTGTCCTATACTTTTGGGAGCATGGCTGGAGTCACTGCAGCCATTGCTGCTGGTACCTATACACTCAGTACACTGAAGACTACAATTTAAGATACACTGACATGAAACAATCTCAAGACAAGTTGATGTTTATTGTCAACCCAACAATATGCACTCAAGTATACAGTGGGACGAAATATCATCCTCCTGGATCAAAGGTGCAAACAATAGAAATGAAAATGAAAAAATATACATATATACAACTATGCAAGAAATAAGACAATGCCACATTATGTGACAGTGCACATAATGTCGATTTTTCTACAGTGCTTTAAAAAAAATCTTTTACTGTTGCTATCTGGCATCATAACAATCATCAGTGCTGAAATATCCTGTACTGTAAATACACATGTATCCCAGCTGATCCTGACCCTGTCCGTTGTGGTAAGAGATTAGATCAAAGCAGGGCACCATATATTGGGTATGTTGAGTAAAAGGCTGGATTAGCTTTCAAGAGATTAGCTGACGGCTATCACCTGACAAGAGATAATATTGGTAAAGATGGAGCTGCTTTCCTTTGGTGTTTGTTAAAGAGTGTTTTAGTTATGTCTTTCTAGGGTTTTAGGAATTAAAGGAAGATTCTTTCAACTGAAAGTTGCACTTTTTTTACACTGCATGTTTGATATTGAAAGGAATTCAAAGTCTTGGCCCAAGCAAACTATAAGTAGTCCTAAGGCCGGCTGGTATATCAGCTTTTTTAAGTACCCAGCTGGTTCTGAGGTTCTCCTCAAAGTTTCCAACTTCTTTAACAACAGAAGCTCACAGCTCACATCAGCACACTGCTGCCGCTTGGAAATTACTTGGAAGCGATTTTTGATTAAAAGTGCAGTTTCAGTCGGCAACTGTTCATTGCCTGAAAAGAAACAGAACAATATGTCTGTTGGTGGTATGACAATATAGGCTGCAGCCTGTGTGGGCACAGAGAGTAGGAGAGAAACAACAAATATAAAGGGCTCACACATCCTGAAACGAGGAAAAATGCAAATATAATGCTAATTAGTGATTTTAGTAAAAGTTTTTCAACACGTTTGGCGACTATAGTATTTCAGAAAAAGAATAACGTCTGCATTTTATTTTTATGACTTTCTGTGATGTCTATCACTGTAAATGGCTAGAAAAGGTAAAAAAATATTCATATAATGTATATACCCTTTTAGCCAAATACAAACTATAAGAAGTCTCATCCCAATATTCTTCAAACTGTTCTGCATTCTGCTGAGCTGAATCCCAGTTAGAAATTGTTTGGGGAGAAGTCGATAATAAGTATAGGAGTTTTTCAGACAGGCTGAAATGTGTGAGGTAGCTAAGAATAAAAACATCCCCTCATGGTACCGCTGTCATTCTGTGGAGGACCCATGACTTTAACATGTGCAGAATAAATTTACACTGGGAATTGTCAGAGGAGAATGGCCAGACTGCTGCTTATAGGAAGGAAAAATGAACTCAGAGAACCACAGTATGCAGAATATCATCTGTAAATGCACAACATTTTGCTCCTTGAAGAAGATGGGCTAAAGCAGCAGAAGACCGCACTGGGTGCCGCTCCTGTTAGCCAAGAAAAGGAAACTGAGGCTATGATTCACATTGGTTTGCTAAAATTGGGCAACAGATGACTGGAAAAATGTTGCCTGATGAATCTTGATTTCTGCTACAACACTTGGATTGTAGTGTGAGTGAATTTGATCATGGATCCATCCTAGAAGTTCAGGCTGCTTGTGGTGGTGTAATGCTGTGGGGGATGTTCTCTAGGAATACCTTGAAAACCTTATTATCAACTGGCAATTGTTTGAACACCACAACCTTCCAGACTATTGTTGTTGATTATTCCCATCCAGTTATGACCACAGTGTACCCATCTTCTAATGGCTGCTTTGTGAAGAATAATGTATCACAAAGCTCAGATTATTTCTGTCTGGTTTCTTGATCATGACGGTGAGTTCGCTGTACTCAAATGGCCTCCACATTCATCGGACTGCAATCCAATAAACCCCCTTTGAGCTGTTGGAGTGAGCGATTGATGTCATGGATGTGCAGCTGGGAAGTCTGTATACATCACCAAAGAAAAAGCATTTCACGTGATATGGAATGAGCTGCTCAGCCAGCTGATGTGAATAAACCATCTGATATCATGGCCTCTCTTTGACACAGATCACAGACACACATTTCACCATATGCACCACCCCTTGTCCACTCACCTGCCCGTGCCCCAGCGTTTACGGAAGAGGGTACACAGCATGGAGAAGAGGCGCAAAAAGAAGCGCAGGAAAAAAAAGACTTCGCTGCCGCCTTCTGACGTTACGCCTACCATACACGAGGTAGACGAGGAAGAGGCAGAGTCGGAGACCGAAGGGCAAGGGGTGGCTGCCACTCCCGCAGAGCTCCCTGAGGTCCAGCCACAGGTAAAATGTGACTTATACAGTGTAACTTTTGCAAAATCCACTCATGTACCTGAGCTGCTGATAAGATGCTTGTGGCATTAATACTTAAACAAAAGAGAATCATCTGTGGTTTTGATTATGGTTTTACTATGTATAGCCAGTTTTATATATGCCTCCCCCTCACTGATCCTCCTCTTTCTCTCAGTTTAGTTTGGGGAGCCAAGAGGACTTGGGGGAACCCCTTCACCACACTATCGTCCACACGGAAAACGAAGAACAACCTTTGTCGAGGAAAACAACTGCGCTGACTCTGACAAAGGGGGCGGCTCATAATGGGGGAATAACTGTTACTGGACAGAACGATGACATGGATGGAGGAGAAGCAGCATGCAACAGGTGTGACTTCTGACATCTGAGTCCTCTCCAATGTCCTAGTAAACATTTGTAAAATGTATAAAATCTGCAACACTCCCCAACACAAAGATGGCAAATATTCATATAATTTGTTTCATATGTTTCGCATAATTAGCGTGTCTGTTGCTACAGGACATTGTGAAAAAAGCCGATATGCTACAGCCTACTCACTGACCAGTACTGACCTCTTGTCAGTCTTTTAGCTAAATTAACTCAAATTGAAACCTTTTCTAGGTCCCATATTCTACCACTTTAATACACATATTAATATTACGTCTTAAAGTCGTAGATGTAATAGTAATATGTGTATTCATATTACATCCAGAATGTGTATTTTAAATTCCAGTCGTAAATGCTGCACACTTGCACTCTGACTGTTTGATAATCAGTTTCAGTGTTGGTAACTTTAAATCAAACTAGTGTGGCTGCTGCACCTGCCCCTTTGAGGAAGAAGTTTATGAGTGATAGAGAGAAGCAGCCAATAAGAGCAGCACATGTGTTTCAGTATACGGTCTGCCAGTGCAGACCTGAATAAGTCACTCAGTGGCTTCTGACTTTCTCTCCGAATGATAGTTTGGCTTGTAAATGGTAAATGGCCTGTATTTGTATAGCGCTTTACTTGGTCCCTATGGACCCCAAAGCAATTTACACTACATTCAGTCATCCACCCATTCACACACTGGTGATGGCAAGCTACATTGTAGCCACAGCTGCCCTGGGGCGCACTGACAGAGGCGAGGCTGCCCGGACACTGGCACCATCGGGCCCTCTGACCACCACCAGTAAGCAACGGGTGAAGTGTCTTGCCCAAGGAAACAACGACCGAGACTGTCAGAGCCAGGACTCGAACCGGCAACCTTCCAATTACAAGACGAACTGCCAACTCTTGAGCCACAATCGCCCCAGTAAATATAGCCGAGTTCTTGGCACAGCTGTTGTTTTTAACATTTGTGACTGCAGAGTTTGTCAGACAGCATCACAATTACAAAAATCTGGATTTTAGAGGTGCAGAACAGCTTAATTAAGCTCCACCGTTGTTAATACAGTGCACATATATAAGTGTTTCATGGGTGTTCTATTGTCTCACAGCAGGAACAGAACAATATTTCTTGACAACAGATTTACTGAGAATTTAGCTGTATCAGAAATGCAGCATAGGTAAACTGCTAGCAGAATGCTAACTGAGGTTAATTGTGCAAAAGAACAAATATGGAGTAACACACACCCAGTACTATTGATTTTTGTTATCAATCAGCCCTTAAAGTTTCGACTGTTCATGTTGTCCCTCACTGTGATGAGCTCTGACCGGCATGCATAGGATCAGAGCTAATAATTATGTTCCCCACATTAGCCCTGCTTGACACTAAACTGGTTGTAATGCATATCATTGTACAAAGAGAGGATCTTTGTTACTAGTGAGGAAGTCAGGAGTAGTGGAGAAGTATGGGAGGCTAATGCAGGAGATGTATGAGAACAGTGGAGAGGTGTTCAGTTGGAGGGACAGATGGGTTCAAGGTGGCTGTGGGCAGAGATGGGCAGTAACGACTTACAAGTAAGTAAAGTGAGTAATGAGTAAAGTAAGGGATTACTATTGCAAAAAGGTAATTAGATTACTGTTACTTTCCCGCAAGCACGCTGCGTTACTAAAACTGTGTTGTTGGTTTTTTTTTGTTTTTGTGTTTTGTGAGAGTGTCTCATGACAATGACGTAAGCGAGTGCAACGTTCTGGCAACAGCTGTGTGCAGATCAAAAATGGATAATATAACGAGTGCGGGGAGAGTATGGAGGACACGCATACTTTCATACACAAACAGTTACAATCACCTCATAAACTGCTCTACCTTTAGCTGTGCATCTCTATTTTAGTCTCCACCAACCCATTGTGTAGTTTTTCAGGTATCTGACCATTAGCAGCTAGCTGCTAAAGTTAAGCTAGCTGCTAAAGTTGTCTGTTTGTGGCTGATATGTTGGACAGGTAACAGTGTGTTCATTAAAGATTATATTGCTGGAAACAGCTGCCCACTGAAGCTGAAAACACAGCTGATTAAAGCAGTGGGAGGCTATTAAAGCTGTGGGCCATAAAACTGAAATACATTGCTAAAAGATGCTATAACACTGTGGGGAAATACAGGGATGAGATTAGCTGTAGGATTATCATTGTGAGCAAATTCTTTCACACTACACCAAGTCTTTTGTTAAACTTTCATCCACTTAATTATGCAGCTTTAACAGCCTTTTGTTATCAGTTTATCCCTGACTGCTGTCTGTTTCACAAGGCAGAATTTGGCAGTGATAAAGCCTATCACAGGAGCATGTTGCTGGTTACATTTTCCTAACAACAGTCATAATTTAGTATTTTATCAGTTTCAAATTTATTAAATACATTTTGGTTTATATTCAGTGCTTTCTGTTGTTTTCTGAATTTGAAACCTTTAACTGTGTGAATACTTTTTCGTGCAGCAAAACCTATAAAACAGGCTCGTGCATACGAGAGCATAGGCTAAGTAAGCTGTATTTTTAGATGTGTGATACTTGTCATTGGAAGCCAATGACATTTATAACCCATACGTGCAGTTTTTAGGGCAGTTATGATCCATTAATGGTTCCAGCTGAATCATTCATATCTGGCTTGCTAACACATACAATATAACCATCAGAATATGAATTATTTGGTGATGCTTTGAATTATGCATGGAGTTTGCTGTTGGGAGGTCAGGGGCGCCATGGTGATTCAAGTCCTTGTCTCTGCTAATGGCTCACTGGATAAAAGCACAGAAACAAGCATCATGCCTGAGCCATGCAGCGTTTCATTGCTGTGTTTGAGTAAGCTCAGCTGAGGATGACTCAGAGGCTTGGAGAGGAGATCCAGGCCTGTTGTTGTGTTGTGAAGCCCTCTGTTGGTAAAGTAACCGAAGTGCATGAGCCAAGAGAGTATTTATCAAAAACGATTTTAACATAAAGTATATTAATACTTTATAATGTGATGATTTATGGTTGATTTGTGGACTACATTGTGGTTCATATTTTGGTTTTGAAAACAATAAAATAAAGTTCTTTCATAATGTCAAAGAATTAATTATTTAATTATTAAATTAAAATTAACTTATAGTGCTCTTTGTCAGTGTTCCCTCAGGATCAGATCCCTCAAGTTCAATCACACCTCATGGCTGGTTCCGCAAGAAGCCTGTCCACCACCGTCTGCCGGGCACCCAGCGAAACAACTACGACCTGCGGGAGCGGATCTGCATCGGCAGCATGACTGCCCTGGAGACTGCCGTCTATCAGCAGGTGCCCACTGATGAGGCTGAAGCCCAAATGTTGGTCAGCGCTGATCTGGATGACATGAAAAGTAAGAAAAATACTACACTGTATTTTTAGGGAAGTTTATGTTCAACCCAGTATCACAGAAAAACATGTAATAGACACGTGTTCCACTGTGTCCATTTCACACTTTGCCTCTCCAAAGTGTGAAAAGCACATGAATGCAGAAGTTGCAGTAAGTTGCAGTGAGATGCAGTACCAGCAGAGGGAGATATTTTATTGAGAGCAACATGATTATAATTCAATTCAATTCAGTTTTATTTATATAGAGCCAAATCACAGCAACAGTTGCCGCAATGTGCTTGATTTATAACCGCGGGGAAGTATTTAAACAGCCATTACTCACACATTTACATGTACATATTTAGAAAAAAATATAGAATTGAGCTTGATCTAATAATGCTGTGAATAAATCGATTGGTGTGTTTAGTACTTTTCACTGGACAGCATCACAGTCGGCGAGGCTCTGTGTCACTCTATTTTATTACCATTTCTCCCACATCATGTTGACGAAGGTGTAGAAACTCCTTTTAATAGAGTGGAGACATACAATGCAGTAATAGAGAGAAGGACTGGAGGGAGGCTTAGGGCAGGAAGATAAAACCCGGTGGAGAGGAAATTGGTAACAGCGTAGAGGGGTAAGGGAAGAGTGCTGGTGCTGAGGTAAGTCAGCCTGCAGGCTGCTGGAGCAGGAGCAGGAGGGCGGGGTTGGCAATGGCCATAACAATGAGAAAACGAGTGAGGAGGTAAGAGGAGATTTAGAGCAAATTGATGCAAAGACCTGTTGAAACCTGTGTGTGTTTGAAATACTGGAATAACTGTCTGTTTTCAGGTAGCTATGTTATTGTTTTTATTATTAAATGCAAGTCAAATAGGGTTTTTTATGTGATTATTGGGGACAATACAAAAAAATAGCCTTTTAAATTCCTCACTGGTGTTGAGGAAAAGCTTTGGAGCAGGACAACGGTAGATGGCTGTCTCCATCTCTGAAAGCACCTTCTGAGATGACTCATTTTTGCTTATCACCCACGCCACAACAGTGATGTGTGTGGTGGTGGAGGAGGGAGGGGAGTCTTTGTGAGCTGCCTGTATTGTTATATATCAGCCAGGGACTATGTGTGTTAGTGTATTATTGATGTAAATGCCAAGTAAATGCAGTGAGTTAAAAATGAAGACCTTGACTCGCATCAGTGCTCTGATCTGATCGTACGTGGATGTGACTTCAGATTCTTGGCTGTGTGCACCTCGCAATAAAGGAAAGTCAATGTCAGTATGTATTATTCTTAACATAGAGCTGGATATGTTTCCCTTGATGCTATCTTGAGTGCTGTTGAAGACATAATAAAGCCTGCTGCTTTGACTACAGATTAAATGATTAAATAGAACCCTGTTTCCCTCTCATTAAGTGACTAATTATATCCAGAAATAACAGGACATTTTTGATGACATAATAATAATGTGTGTTGTGGGTTTGCTGCCCTCTGCTGGCTCTGAAAAGTACTTCCACTATGCTTACACAATTGAAACATTCACGTTTTTATCTTTATCTTTATATATATATATATATATATATATAATATATATAATATATATATATATATATATATAATATATATATATATATATATATATAATATATATATAAAACACCCAGCACGCCCCTGCGGGCGGTTTATCCTTCAAGCTCGGGTCCTCTACCAGAGGCCTGGGAGCTTGAGGGTCCTGCGCAGTATCTTAGCTGTTCCCAGGACTGCGCTCTTCTGGACAGATCTCCGATGTTGTTCCCGGGATCTGCTGGAGCCACTCGCCTAGCTTGGGAGTCACCGCACCTAGTGCTCCGATTACCACGGGGACCACCGTTACCTTCACCCTCCACATCCTCTCGAGCTCTTCTCTGAGCCCTTGGTATTTCTCCAGCTTCTCGTGTTCCTTCTTCCTGATATTGCTGTCATTCGGAACCGCTACATCGATCACTACGGCCGTCTTCTTCTGTTTGTCTACCACCACTATGTCCGGTTGGTTAGCCACCACCATTTTGTCCGTCTGTATCTGGAAGTCCCACAGGATCTTAGCTCGGTCATTCTCCACCACCCTTGGGGCATCTCCCATTTTGACCTCGGGACTTCCAGGTTATACTCGGCACAGATGTTCCTGTACACTATGCCGGCCACTTGGTTATGGCGTTCCATGTATGCCTTGCCTGCTAGCATCTTGCACCCTGCTGTTATGTGCTGGATTGTCTCTGGGGCATCTTTACACAGCCTGCACCTGGGGTCTTGCCTGGTGTGATAGACCCCAGCCTCTATGGATCTTGTACTCAGAGCTTGTTCTTGTGCTGCCATGATTAGTGCCTCTGTGCTGTCTTTCAGTCCAGCTTTGTCCAGCCACTGGTAGGATTTCTGGATATCAGCCACCTCCTCTATCTGCCGGTGGTACATACCGTGCAGGGGCCTGTCCTTCCATGATGGTTCCTCGTTTCCCTCCTCTTTCTTGGGTTTCTGCTGCCTGAGGTATTCACTGAGCACTCGGTCAGTTGGGGCCATCTTCCCAATGTATTCTTGGATGTTCGTTGTCTCATCCTGGACTGTGGTGCTGACACTCACCAGTCCCCGGCCCCCTTCCTTCCGCTTAGCGTACAGCCTCAGGGTGCTGGACTTGGGGTGAAACCCTCCATGCATGGTAAGGAGCTTTCTTGTCTTTATGTCAGTGGCTTCTGACATATATATATATATATATATCCCCTCAGTTCTGAGGGGATTGAACTACCAGAAGGCAACATTGCAGACATAGAGGACAGTTACAAGTACCTGGGGATCCCGCAGGCAAATGGGAACCATGAAGAGGCCGCTAGAAAGGCTGCAACCACCAAGTACCTGCAGAGGGTCAGGCAAGTCCTGAGGAGTCAGCTGAATGGTAAGAACAAGATCCGGGCCATCAACACGTACGCCCTGCCCGTGATCAGGTACCCTGCTGGGGTAATAGGCTGGCCAAAGGAGGAGATAGAAGCCACTGACATAAAGACAAGAAAGCTCCTTACCATGCATGGAGGGTTTCACCCCAAGTCCAGCACCCTGAGGCTGTACGCTAAGCGGAAGGAAGGGGGCCGGGGACTGGTGAGTGTCAGCACCACAGTCCAGGATGAGACAAGGAACATCCAAGAATACATTGGGAAGATGGCCCCAACTGACCGAGTGCTCAGTGAATACCTCAGGCAGCAGAAACCCAAGAAAGAGGAGGGAGACGAGGAACCATCATGGAAGGACAGGCCCCTGCACGGTATGTACCACCGGCAGATAGAGGAGGTGGCTGATATCCAGAAATCCTACCAGTGGCTGGACAAAGCTGGACTGAAAGACAGCACAGAGGCACTAATCATGGCGGCACAAGAACAAGCTCTGAGTACAAGATCCATAGAGGCTGGGGTCTATCACACCAGGCAAGACCCCAGGTGCAGGCTGTGTAAAGATGCCCCAGAGACAATCCAGCACATAACAGCAGGGTGCAAGATGCTAGCAGGCAAGGCATACATGGAACGCCATAACCAAGTGGCCGGCATAGTGTACAGGAACATCTGTGCCGAGTATAACCTGGAAGTCCCGAGGTCAAAATGGGAGATGCCCCCAAGGGTGGTGGAGAATGACCGAGCTAAGATCCTGTGGGACTTCCAGATACAGACGGACAAAATGGTGGTGGCTAACCAACCGGACATAGTGGTGGTAGACAAACAGAAGAAGACGGCCGTAGTGATCGATGTAGCGGTTCCGAATGACAGCAATATCAGGAAGAAGGAACACGAGAAGCTGGAGAAATACCAAGGGCTCAGAGAAGAGCTCGAGAGGATGTGGAGGGTGAAGGTAACGGTGGTCCCCGTGGTAATCGGAGCACTAGGTGCGGTGACTCCCAAGCTAGGCGAGTGGCTCCAGCAGATCCCGGGAACAACATCGGAGATCTCTGTCCAGAAGAGCGCAGTCCTGGGAACAGCTAAGATACTGCGCAGGACCCTCAAGCTCCCAGGCCTCTGGTAGAGGACCCGAGCTTGAAGGATAAACCGCCCGCAGGGGCGTGCTGGGTGTTTTTATTCATATATATATATATATATATATATATATATATATATATATATATATATATATATATATATATATATATATATATATATATATATATATATATATATATACTCAAAATTGATTTCAATCAATTTTGAATATTGATTGAAATAACAAGAATATTAATGTATTAAAATCAGATTCAACAGTTCCTTTTATTTAAATATCTTTAAATTTCAAATTCTTACATTTAAAAGCACAGCATTGCACAGATTTAAAGTACTTTAGTCCCAGATTTGTAGTATAATCGGACCTAACTAATGGTTTTGATGCAAAAAAAAATAATAGGAAAAAGTCTACTACAAAACTGTATTTTGTTTCAGCAGTGCTTCTTTTAATCTAGAGAGCCTGCAACATTTATTGACTCCATTTCTTCACTGAGGCCCAACATTGACGGGTTTTGCTGTTTTGGCTCCATCATGAACATCCCACACATTCGGTCTCATGAAACCAGCCCACACAGCCCCACGTATGCACTGTTAAAAATAAGCCTTCCAAAACAGAGGGTGGAGGATGGAGGAAGGAGGAATATAATATCGACTCATAATTTTTGCAAATGTAGGCTGTTCCTGTAATAAAGTCTTTGTATTTATTCAGTTATATGTCACTATGCTTTACATATATTGTATCCTTAACAGCAGTTGGCTTCATATTGTAATTTGTAGCACAGTTATGGAAGTAGACATGAGCTACACTTATTTTTGCACTCCATACTTCATTTTGTCACGATTAGTCTTAACTCATTCACTGCCAGCCATTGGCAGTGAATGAGTTAAACCCATTGACTCATACACTGCAATTGACGGCTATAGACGTCAATGGCAGTGAATGAGTTAATTGTGGGAGACTTTTTTTTTTTTTTACCACATGTTGCACAAAGCATCACTTTAGGAAGTGAAGGTCCATGCTTAAATGCTCA